CAACTGGAGTACTGCATCCAGTTCTGGGCACTGCACTTCAAGAGGGATGTGGACAACAAGGAGAGGGTCCAGAGGAGGGTCACTCACATGATCAAGGGGCAGCAGGGCAGACCCTATGAGGAGAGGCTACCAGACCTGAACTTGTTCAGCCTCCACAAGAGAAGGCTGAGGTGGGATCTAGTGGCCTGTTACAAACTAGTCAGAGGGGATCAGCAAGCACTGGGGGAGTCCCTGTTCCCCTGAGCACTACCAGGAGTAACCAGGAATAATGGTCACAAGCTGGTAGAGGGTAGATTTAGGCTAGATATCAGGAGGCGCTACTTCACGGTCAGGGCAGCTAGGATCTGGAACCAACTTCCAAGAGAAGTGGTGCTGGCTCCTACCCTGGGGGTCTTTAAGAGGAGGCTAGACATACATCTAGCTGGGGTCGTTTGACCCCAGTACTCTTTCCTGCCATGGCAGGCGGTTGGACTTGATGATCTGCTCAGGTCCCTTCCGACCCAGAAACTATGAAATGCTGCATGCAGTGCATGGGACCAGTTGAGACCCACAGGCAATGCTATGGGCTGAATGATAGAGCCCCACAGGCCACATCTTTGACACCCCGAAGTAATTCACAAGACCAGACAACTGTGTATAGCAAGGTTATCCAAATCCGAGCAGCATTGGTGTCCAAAACCAGAACAGAATGGGGACAAGACAACATTCACAAGTCAGAGATGAAGAAACCAGCAAAAAGTGCCTTGTTAGGACATGTTATTCTGCCAGTGACCACATTACTGCCTTTACAATCCCAAAACTTGGGATCCAAATTTCATTCAACTCTCACTTTGAGTCCAGAGCTCATATATGCATCACTTGTACATCTCTGTACACCAATGTCCCCAGTGGTAATGGATTACAAGCCATAAAGAACATTATCCCCAATGATGGCATTGCTTATGTTTCCATCACACACTTTCCTGCTTTAGCCTTACACAACTATTTCAGATTTGGGATCTCACTAAATCTATAAAACAAATGGAAATGCCATAGGCACATGCACAGTTCCCCTACTTTGCAAACATATTTATGACAGATCTCATAGTCTGCTTCCTCTGCAGCTGCCCTCTTTATCTACCTATTATACCCAAGATACACTGATGACATCTTTACCCTGTGGATAAATGGGAAGGAACCTTTACAGAAATTCCACTGGGACTTTAACAATTTCCACCCTCCCAGCCAACTGACTCTCTAATACTTTACCCAAATTAATTTCTTGGACCCCACTGCGAAGCTTTGCAATGGCCACATCACTACTATGTTGCATCGGAAACCAACCATCCATTACACCTACCTCCATGCCACCATCTTTCAACCTAAGCATATCACTAAATCCATCACCTACAGCCCAAGCTCTGTTACAGCTGTATCTGCTCTGTTGCCACCAACCATGATGCACACCTTAGGAATCTGGAACAAGGCTTCCTACACTTAGACAATCCCAGAACTGTAGCCATTCAAAAATCAGAGTCGGACTTGGACCTCACTCCAACCTGCTACAATACCAACTCTGCAATGTGGACAACAGAATCCCTCTGGTCATCAAATACAGCCCAATGCTTGAAAACCTCTAGCTTCTTTTAAAATGACAATCATCTTAAGGCAGCCTTGGGGGAAAAGCCTGTCCTGACTTATAGATAGCCCCCCACCACCCTCTTCTCCCATCTCAAACAAGGTCTCTTCAGTAACTGACTACCTAACTCCAACCCTTACCAAGTCACTAGGTCTTGCTTCATATCCAGATACCAGATTTGCCCTCTCATCAACACAGACCACATCATCACTGAACCAAACCACATAAAATATAACTTGCAGGGTTCATTCACCTGTTTAGTACCTGTCTGCTGTTTACATTAGCCAGCTGGGGCAATCCCTATGTGAAAGAATGAATGGATATCTATTTGACATCAATTCCAGAAAAGCACAAAAATTTATGGGGCAGATCTCTTTAACCTCCCTGGACAGTCCATCACTACCTTCAGTATAGCTGTCCTTATACAATAAAACTTTCAAAGCCACTTTGAACAGGAAACCGCAGAACAAGAAATCAACCACAATCATCATTGGATTGTGTTAACCATGGTTTCAACAAGAGACTATGGGTTCTTATCCCATAACCTGGGACAGCTGTTAGCTCTAACAGTTTATTCCTGTATCACTCAATGTATTAACTGCCTTATCCTTACTGACCTTTTAAACCAGGCCTTTGTTTCTCTCAGCAATGCCCCCCTTTCTCTGTACTTCTCCACTGTATTTAAATTCCTCTCTTTTACATCCTTTCTTACTCCAAAGCCCACAGCATGATGAAATAGGCTGTCATCTATGAAAGTTCATGCCTCTGAACGAGTGATTCTCTAAGGTATCAGCCTGCACTGCCTTCTGTCTGACTTCAAACTAGCACGGCTAACCACTTTTATACACATCACTTGGTAATGTGAGTAGTTATGTTTTCCTTTCAAAATGTGAACACGGACCATATCATTCCCAGCATATAAAAGGCAGGCAATACCAAGACAGGGGACAGCACATTTAGAAACAAATAATCCCACAGGGCTCATGTCAGATTTCTAGAACACCCCCAAAAGATCAAAACAGAGTACCCTCACATAACATAGCATGGGGCAGTTTAAAAAAAAAAAATGTGTAAAAGCGCTGCTTTAGATCAATTGCTGACCTCATGATTTCAGCTATAAACTGGTAAAGGGAAGTTCTTGCACGACTCTCACTTCCCCATCACCCCGAGCACTGCAGCAAGCCAGGTGCTTCCTGGCATTATTTGCTTTCATACACTTACAACTACTGGCAACAGAATACAGGACTCTATTGAGCAGAGGTGCCTCAGTTGCTACATACCTTGACATCAGCAATGAGGGCATCCTCATCTTCTATGCCCGTGGGGACACACTTCTTGTGCAGGGGCAGAGACTCCAGCTTGTCCATCAGGCAGCGCAGCCCTTCTAGCTCAAATTGAGTCAGGTGCACCTTCTTGCTCTTGTGTGGACTGCTGGCAAGGGGGTCCCAAGCCTGGCCATTCTGGGGGGCCCGGCTAGAGTCAGAGGAGTCCGTGGATGGGGTTCTCTTAAGGCCTGGCAGACTCCTGCAGCCTTTGCTTAGTTCATCATAGTCTAGGTTGGCACCATTGGCCACAGGGCTTGTGAGGACCGACCGTCTAGTGACTGGGCGTCGTGGCTCTTTATCAGCTGCATCCTCCTCTTCATCCACATTTCCTGACTCTGAGGAGCTCAACTCCATATCTGCCAATGCCATAGGGAAAAAGAGCAATGAGAGGAGCGGAGACGTAGGCCCAGCCAACCAATTAGCTCATGGGGTGCTTCAATTTTTCAGGTTCTTCCACTAGGTGGGAAACTCCAGAAACTATCCCTATTTCCAAAAAGTGCTAAATATAAATCAGCTTGCTCCCAGGCTGAGAGAAGAGAGGGACAGAGTACTGCCATTTCTACAGCAGTATTACAAGTCTGCTCTAACCACTACTTCACCACACTGCTGCTAGGGGAGAAACAGAGAACAGGTACAGGCAGTCCTCAGACTTATGACAATCAGTTCCTGAAAACTGCATCTTAAGTTGAAACGTTACAACTCTGAACCAATTTTCTCATTAAAAACAATGTTATAAATGGGGGATTGGTTCCTGAACCAAGGCCCGATACCCTATTTTCACCAAAAATACCCCAGAATTTCATACTAGATCAATTATAGATAAGTAATATAGCTATATTAAAGATTTTATATTGCAAATAGCAATCATTGATTTGGAAGGACTTCTTTGAGGTGACTTTGCTGGACTTTTTGAAAGGTTCTTGACTGGAGTCTTCTCAGGAGTCTTGGCTACAGGTTTTTCTGGAGTCTTGTCTGCTTTCCTTGGACATTTTCTTTAAGAAGTTTGGACAGATGTTCTCCAGGGAGATGAGCAATGCAGCAAACTTGTTCGCTGGTGTGGCATTGCATTGGATCAAGTGTTTGACGTCAGTTTCGACTTTACAAGTTGAAACAGGGTGTCAATTTATAAACATTGTAAGTGTGAAATGTTGTAACTCGAAAAGTTGTAAGTTGAGGACTGCCTGTACTGACCATGCTTAGACTGGAAAAGGCAGGACTGTGTGCAGTAGTTTACTCCAGATCAACCAGATTAAACTACTGAAGAACACAGACTAAGAAAACTTGTATGAGAGCCTTGCCTCTGATGGAATCCTCTGGCTAGAAATCAGAGCCCCAGAAACTCTATGGCTGTCCTGAAAGATGCCCTTGAGGGGCTGTTCACCTCCATTTAGGGAGTAAGTTTCACATTGCCCTGTACTGACTATATGGATCTAGCTATAAAATCACCAGACACCCTTGCAACCTTCACTCTAAAGTTCATAGACAGTAGCATAAATGCAGCTCACTGTGAGGTTCCAGGCGTTTCCTTGAAGCCGTATCATGGGAACAGTAGGAAACAGAAAGGTAGCTTGTTTTGACTCATGGGTAAAAATCACATCTCCTCCTCCCAGTCTGCAGTCTCCCTCCAGCCCCACACTGAACCTGATCCCCTTAAATATAGCTAACAGGAAAGAGAGGAAATACCCATAAAAACCACCCTGTGAAATTAAGGAAGCAATCCTCCTGAATTCCCCCACCAGAGCCCTCCCCACCCTGCCACTCAGACAGCCAGATGGTGCATCAGAGGGGAAGCAAAGGAAACTGCTTCAGCACGGCAAGGAAGGGGTCAGGACAAAAACTCAGGCAGTAGCTCTCACCCATGCTGAGTGACTCCTTCTGGAAGTCCTTGGTCAGATGGGAGCGGTTGGTGATACAGTAGACATAGCGTTCCAGCACATACCAGCACATCTCATAGTAGAAGGGGTAGCGAAACTTGTTTGGGACCTGAGAAGGGGCATAAGAGGCAAAAGATAACGTAAGGAAAGGGATCAATTATGTTCCTAAACATAGAGCAGCAGAGTTTAACAATGCTTCAATTATCACACAGAACAGGTTTATTCTGGGGGTGGGAACTGCAAGTACACATAACAACAAACACTTAAGAGCACTTTCAGCAGCCTGGCATAAACCTCCTCATGCCGGAAGGAGTCACCAGGTGACAGAAAGACACACTTCACTTCCTAGTTATTAGCATTTCATTCTTTATTGTTCACGGTCAGGGATCTTTGCTACACTTACTTTTACATAAACTCTCCCCTAATTAGTCTGGCAATAGTAGTAAGGCCATAACACTGCAAAGGCCTTTAATTAATAGTACTGAGATTCAGCCCATCCAATACTCCATACAACAGGCTAAACATCTTTCTGAATACAAAAAGGGAGAAAGGAAGGTTGACAGGAATCTGAATGGTGTTTCTGTCAGTCAAACTTGAAGCCTGGCTGTCCTAGACTGGTTTCACATCAGTTAACAGGTAGGGAAAGGTCACTGATACACCCAAGCAGTTCAGCTCAAATTCATAAGTTGCCTTTGGCTTCAATAATCTTTTCTGACTAGTCAAAACCTAGTGCAGAACTGCAAAGTAGCACAGGAAGCATGTGGAAATGCAAAACCAACAACACTTGAACGACCCCATTGACTAGCAAATAATGTTCCCTTCCCTACACCTAATAGGGTTATAGAGATCCACTGCTAGTGAGTCAGGGGTACTTGGGTCCCCCCAAATCAAGACTGGATTGAAGCTGCTGGCTTTGAAGTTAACAGCTCATGTGTCATTTCTACACACTCCCAAGCCAGGCAGCCATTCCTCCCATGTTCTTATTTGACACAGTAAATAATCAATCAATCAGTCTGAAAGCCACTGTGTTGGTTTCTATGGCTTCCCCTTGCACCAAGGGAGAGTCTTAATGCACAGGTCACCTGCCAGCCCTCCTACAATACCTTACCCGTGTTCGATCTTCAATGCTGTAGATTCGCAGCTGCATGGGGATGTTGAAGCTGTGCAGGAAGTTGCCTCCAAAAACCAAAGTATCAGTGGGGGTGTACACAGCATGGATCCAACCTACAAGAGAAAGGAAGAGGACCATGAGAAGGGGAAAGCTTATACAGAACTAGCCTGTGAATGAGGCTGCCTCGGGTGTCACCCTCTTTTCTACGGGGCTCACTAACATGGAAGCAAAACTTGCTGATGCCATCACCTTCAATGATGCTAGAAGCATGAGAACCTTTTCTAACTGTTCCATTCACTTCACATAACCATACAACCCCACTGCCCTTTTTGGGTGCAAGAGTGAAGAGCCTATTGACTTTAATCCAGGAAAAAATTAATGTGTGGCCCAGGTATCAAAAGTTTGGGAAGCACTTATCTAAAATACTCCCCAGGCCCCAATCATTAAGAGCCTTGAAATGCTGGAGCTGTAGAGTATCACAGTGATCAACTCATCCTTCTAGTCTCCCACTATCCACTGCCATGTTCCCATCTTGACCTTCACTGCCACTCACTCGCATTATATTCAGCTGTATGCTTAACACTCATTTGATATCTTCATGTTTACCACCCCCATCTACCTCACTCAAATCAGTCTGAAGTTTTCCCTCAGCTTTTCTTCAGCCTGTTGTACGTCTCAGACAGAAGGCCTACCCTTGGACAAGAGGACAAGCTTTAAAACTGTCTTTTCCTTAGCTTGTCTGTCAAGAGACTAGGTGCTTCATTTATTCCTAGCCCTGGAACATCTTTGGCTACGAGCTATTTGTCACATTGTTGTTCTATGATTCTTCCCACATTACTGCTGCAGTGCCCTAGTCAGCTAGCCTCAGCTCCTCTGACCTTCATTCCCACCTCTACGCTTCCAGCTCCCCAGACTCCAGCATCAGCAGAATGCTGCTGTCATTTTCTCATATGAAGCAGTGTAATACCATTACTCATTCCCTAAATTCATGTACTAGCTCCCGCACAAAAGCTCAAACAATTCTTTTTTTAAGGTCCCTAGAGTTGCTCAAACCAACTTTGTAGACCCACCCCACCCCACCCCCTGGACTCACCTCCATTTGATATCTGCAATGCTCCCCAAGCTATCTGGAAAAGCTTGCCTGTATTGGATTCAGCTGAATGTTTGAAGGAAGAAGGACAATTTTGGCAAAACAGAGCAGGAACGGCCCTCACAAGGTCATCTAGTCCAGCTCCCTGCTCAAGGCAGCATCATCCCTGGCTAAACCATCCCATCAAAATGTCTGTCCAACCTGCTCTTGAAATTCCCAGGGAAAAAGATTCCACAGCTTTTCTACGCAGACTGCTCTAATACTTGACCACCCTCAGAAACAGAGTGGTCCTCTTAATTTTCAACCTACATTTCCTCTACTGCAGCTTGAGGCTACTGCTCCTAGTCCTATTCCCTATGGTCACAAAGAAAAGTCCATCTACATCCTCTCTATAAATGCCCTTTGGGCACTTGAAGACTGCTATCAAGTTCACCCTCAGTCTTCTCTTCTCCAGACTAAATATCCCTAGTTGTTTTACTCTTTCTTCATAAAAAATATGCTTTCCAGGCCCCTAATAATTTTCTTGCTCTCTGTTGGACTCTTTTCTCTGCCCTTTTACTATACAATCTCTCTTCTCCGACGTATATGATGCCTTAACAAAGCAGGGTCAGGGCAACTATTTAACTTGGCAATGTTTTGGGAATTAATGAAAGCTACAAGACAACTGAGCTGTGTCATACTCTTCTCTTGCAGCTACTCACTACAGTGATGGCCCCCAACCTTTGCTGGCCCTTGGATAATAGTGAGCAAGTAATGTACCATAGGCAACATCAGTGATTGCCTTGTCAATATAAAGAAATACATATCTGTGGGAAGCTAATGTGAATAATGTTGGATGTCTTATAGTCAATATGTCTATGAACCACAGGTTAGCAGCAACTGGTACAGAGGAAGTTCAGGGAGAAGTTGCACTATTCTGATCACATCCTGCAGAGAGCTCAGTCCCCCAACCCACCCTCTGTAACTGACCCCTGGCAAAGACACTCTTCTACAAGTAGCAATATACCCCGGCAGGTTGTCCTGCTCCCCATTCATACCTGAAGGGATGACGAATGTATAGCCTTGCTTGAGCTCAATACGCTGACATTCTGACACTCGGTCACCAAGGAAGATGTCTCCCTGTTTCCCAGACAGTAGCCAATTCTCATAAAGCTCCAGGTTCTGGGGTGTAGGGGGGATCAACCAGAAGATCTGCAAATGTAAAGAGAACCCAAGACAGTTAACAGTCTGGACAGCCACCTCCCTCCCCCACCCCATCCTTCACTTTTGGTCTCTTACAATTTTTCTGCTCTCTTTCAAATGCCAGAACACCAAATTTCCATCCACAGTGGGATCCCCAGACAGGGTGGTTTTAACTGAATGACCAGGAAATGTGTATTTTATTAAATATGGCTGGCAATTAGCAAAATGACAGATTTTCAATTTAAGGAATGTGCCAAGGACTGCACATTACTCCAGGCATGGGGATATTCAGCACATTCTCATTTTCAAGAAACAGTGTCAAGTAATACAAAACAAGTTCAAGATTAGGCAGGCATATATGGGACAAGTTCATGATGACCATGTTCCTGGGGCACTCTACCAGTAATACAGGGAACTCAGCCTCCAGTCATTTCCACCTGTGCACAGCCCCATAGCATGCAAACGGTATTTCTTCCCAGAAGGCAGCCATAGACCCTCTCCACTTTATTAGATCAAATTCACAACCCTTTGGGAAACTGTTTCAATCACACGTCTTCAGTTGGACATACACAATGGGGCTACTGCCAACTGCAGTGGTAGTGCCAAGGTGGCTGAGCCCCTTTTGTGAACACAGCTCTGCCAACAGAGCTAGACTAACACTCCCATATGACATAGCTTCATCAGAAGAACGTGCTTTGTGCTGCTACAGCCACACTGCACCCTCTAGCTAATCTTTTCAGAGTTCCACCCCACAAAGCTCTGCCAACAGATAAGAGCTCTGACAAAGCTGAAACTTGGGACAAGGTAAGGAGTAGTTCCTGCCTCTAGTGAGTCAGAAAAGTGAGGAAAAACAGATTTCTGAAGCCCTGCAGTTTGGGTACATGGCTTGGTATTTCCTAAGGTGCTCACATATTGTGATGTTACAGACTGCATCAATGCATGAAGTCCAACACTTTACTCTGGAAGCAGTATTGGATCTGCTGTGTCAACAGCTTGCAAAAATATGTATATTCTCACTACAGCAAGAGGCTAAAAGTAGTTGTATGCACAGATGTCACAGGGAGAAACTTATCTTCATTTTCACAGGTGCAACCAGAATTCCTAGATAAGCATAATTTTTATAGGGAAGATGAAAATATGGTACCCATACAAAGCTTCTGTATAAGATGCAGCTTTTTCCTACCACCTCCCCAAGAAGGCAGATCTAAAATTAGATGCGTCTTACACACTGAAGCTATGTAATGACAAATAATAGAAATCACTGTAATAGAAGTTTACGAAAAAAAATCAATTACATTTTTGTTAAAATGTTTTATACCTTTGGGAACAGGTAGATTTATATGTATAACATCTCAGACCTTAGAAAATGCACTGTTTTATCTGAAATATGTGAGCAGTGCTTTCAAGTTACAGTTTGTTTGTTTTTTAAAATAGTTTTTGGACTCCAGAAGTGTTCCCTTGTTTTAAATGTTGAAAAAAGTGGTTATTAGTTTTGTGTGCCTGTGACCAGTAAAAGGCAAAATCCATTTTTAATCAAGTAGGGGGAGATTATTTAAAGACAGAGATAGGAATTGGGCACCTCCAGGGAGGGGTGGGGGGTGAGGTGGGGATGTTTTACCTGTCTTCTGTGCATTCAAAAAGTCTTCCCTTTTCTATATATAAAAACGGGTTTTACAGACAGCATTTACTGTCAGCCTTAAGCACCCATGACAATAAGGCCTTGCTACTGCTGAGTGCTTGCAATATGATAGATGCACTAGCAAAGCCTCTTCAGGAAGAGGCAACTCAGGCCCAGAGAATAATTATTTTGCCATCATACCTGATTATCAATTCCTTGAACACTGTTAGGTCAGTAAAACCCATCTACCTTACAGCTTCTGCTAGTCTAGTGGTTAGCTAGGAGCCGTCATTTTTTTTTCACACTCCAGAAGTAGGTTGGCAGGACTTGAGTGTGGACTGAGCCTGAATTTAAACCACAATAAAGTGTAAAGTTGCAGAATAAAGAATAGCATCTAAAAATACTTCAGATGCAGGAGAGCTAGACAGGAAGACATAAGTGGCCCTAGATTTGTTACAACTTATTATGCAAGAGACTTCATGAGCCAGAGAATTCCCCATTTCCAACTAGTTTCATTCACTAAACTCAGGTCTGAGGACTGGAGGTCCATTGGAAATGGCAGCTGATGTGGAAAGAGCTCCAGAGCTGTCCCAGCGTACCTTACTAAGGACTAGAACCTCTGTAAAGGAGCACAGGTCATGGATCAGTTAGTTTGGACAATTTGGTGTATACTCCTACATGCAGGAGTCCATGCACTGCTTTTACGCTCACAGGTATTTGTAAGCTAGGGAGACCATTCAACATGGAGATCATACACTAATTTATACACTCTCTCTGAAAAAACTTTTTCGTATGTTTAGGGATCTGAGCTGGTCTGACCTAGCTGCAGCCCCACACCCACCCTAACAGAAATCTGGAGTGGGGGGGGATGTATCCCCCCTGCCACCCCCTCACCACATCGTGCCCACATCCCCCTTCCTCTCACATCCATCCACTACCTCACACACTGGGGGCCAGGGCCTGGGGCTTGGGAGTGAGGGGCAATTGTGGGGACAGGGCACCGGCATATCAGGGCTGTTAAGAGCCACAAAGTAGCAGGAAGGACAGCCACAGCTGGACCCATGTCCTAGTGAGTGAAAGTGGTGGGCTCTGGTTTTTCATAATAAAAAACACCCAAAAAATGAGGTGCCAAAATATATAGGTATTTATAATTTATTTATTTTATTATAATAATTGAGGTACTGGTAAGCTTCCAAATTGCTTGAAAATCGTAAATATTAATAAAACATTGTGTTCAACTGATAACTCAATTTTTTAGTGGCATTTCATTTTAATTGTGGAAAAAGTATGGATTTGGAGGTTTTTTTGGGGGGAGGTTGTTTTTTGTGGGGCTTTTTTTTTTTTTTTTTTTTTTAATAATAATCAGAGAATTTCAGATTTTTTAATTTTTTTTTTTTTTTTAAACTCAGAGGAAGCCAGGATTCCTGCTTATATTGCATCATTCTCTTCATTAAAAAGAACGCAGAAGGTTTTTGTAACACTTACAGCTGCAAAGTAAGACGTTAACAAAGGAAACTACCCAAGTTAAACCTTCCAGAGATGCTGAGGTATATCATTTAGCACAAACAGTAAATAAAACTGCGCTGAAGTCCAGATCAGTGGAAAGCCATATCGCACTATCAATCTTCCTTCTACCTTAACTCAAAATGAGCATAAATTCATTAGAGGTAGAGAATTAACTGTAGCAAGCAGACAGGCCAAGGAAATTTGAATCCAAGTCCAGGCAACCTCTAATTTAAGGGGATTGGGTTTGGGTTCATTTACAGCTAATAAGCATGGAACTGAATACTAGTTCTTTGGAGAAAATGTTCAAATGACTTCATATTCAGGCCCATCAGCTGTCTCTCTAGATCTTTCTCTTTATGAAGCCATATATCATTAAGACTTCCTCCAAAGCTACTGACAGTTAAAAAAAAAAAAAAAAAAAAAAAATGATGATGTACAGCTGTGTTTTTTGAAGCCATCAATTAATATGGAAAAATTCTTGATTAACAATTTTTATTGCTGGCCCCAGGTTGCAACATTAGCCCTGTCACACCTACCATGAAATCCCCAGTGAACAGCACCTTGGCCTGGGGATCAGATAGTCTTTGAAGCCTGTGGCTTAGAACTGCACTTTCTACAGTTTATTTGGTACAAACCCACAAAACTCAACACAGCCCCCCTGAGAACATCTTTGGCAGCAGCCCTCACAATGACAGTTTTCATACCTTTCCCCCTCTGTGGATGTGGTACCACACAGAGGTGCCCCCAAAGTCCACGTGGAAATCTGTATAGCAGCCCTTGACGCTCATCAAGCAGTACCTGACAAGAGGGCAGGAAGAAGAGATGAGTAGATAAAAACTACCAGACCCTGTCCCTGGTTTTAAAACTGTCACTTTTGACACTGAAGTAAGGGGGTGAGGGGGAAGAGAATGACAAGTACTTGGAACTGCTCAGCTTCTGGGATATGCAGGCTCTGAGCAGCTCTTGAAGGTAAATGCTACAGTGATAAGCACTTAATAACTGTCTATTGCTGGAGATAGCTGACAACAGCAGGAGAGTTCACCTTGCATTTACATCAAATCCCCACAAGAAGCTTTAGCAGAAGCAAGAGGAGAAAGCGCTTTCATCCTCATCCTCCAAGTGACTCTTGGAGATTCCATTTCTCATTGGCCCAGCCTCAGTGGCTGTAGCAGGACAGTAAATACTTGGCCGCTCACCCAATCCGAGACACTGCATTGGAATAACAAGCCATACAAGTTCCTCTGACGTGCAGAGAAGACAGAAGAGCTTGTTCATGTGCCCTGTCATGTAGAGGGCTGTACAGGGGCTGTTGGCACTATTATAATTTTAATACCATTTACAAACAGTCCTGAGGGGCAGCTAAAGGGAGGAAGAGTCCCTCAGTTCCTTTTCCTAGCAACAGGCTACCACCTCCTATCACATTATATCCTGGACCCTCTGCCCCTACTGGAATGGTGGGTGCAGGGCACAGGTGTCTCACAAAGTCACTTACTTCTGCACCTTGGGATACTGCATCTCCAGAATGGCATTCGTAGACTCAGTCTGACTCTCTTTCAAGTGTCTTGGCCACATGTTGTCAACCCAGTCAATCAAATCCACCTGCAGCCAGAGAAACAGTTGGTCCAAGTGTAGGTAAAAAGATCTCATTTCCATTCCTCACCCAGCAGATCACAACAGCTTAAAATATTGTTATAAAGCCTCCTAACCCTACAATTTGTCACTTCTCCTAGCCTGGTATGAAATACAGTACTTTGGAAGTAGAAACACTATGCCTGCAGTGGACCCCTCTGAGCACTAGTATTCTCAGAATGGAGTTCACCCAAGACTATTCATAGCCAGTTTGCCAGCACTGTCACTCTGGACTTGCAACAGACATCAGAGAATTTTGTGCAGTGTCATCCAGCCCCATCACAGAAGCATACTCCATAACGTAACTTTTTTGTTCTAATCCTTATGTCTGCATAGTAGCCTCCAAATGCAAATGGAGAGTAAACAGTGTCTGAGCCTGCAGAGAGCCTGAAATAAATTGCTGAGGTGTTTAATTCCTAAACAGAAGAGCAAGGTCTCACAAACATATGATAAAGATAATTTGCTGCTTTGCTCACTCATGAGCACACTGCTAAATTACTTCTGGTACTTTTCTAAGAGCCTTAACTGCCTTGTCCAGGCAGCTAAAGTCGCCAACTTCTCCCCTTAGCAACTTGAACATGGCAACATGCATTTGCACTGCAACATTATGCAACCCATTGAAAGTTTGAGCCCAGCATATAATTTGAATACCTAAACACAGGGCAATGACTGTGTTACTTTTGTTTTTAATTTGATGATTACTTTTAAAAAAAAAAAAATGAAAGTTCTGAACTGGCTCTTGATCTCTTGCCATCCTCAGTGAAAGCAGCAGAACCCAGGAAGGTTCAAGTGCAGAGTTCAGGATACTCTCTCTGGTATTCCAGCCCTCCCTCTATACCTCAACAATCAGCCTCTGCTGTCCACTGCTACTCTGCCTCCCAGTTGGCTACCTGCGCTTTTCACTTACAGTGGAGCCAAAGCTTAATGTATGAGGTATGAGTGGGTTCTACATAACAAGCTCCTTAGCAGTTTAGTGCACAACAGCTGACTGGGGAATCAGGCACTGGTTGGAAGAGAGCCAAGGTCTCATCAGGCAATGGAACCAGCTAACCAAGATGAAGCTGGGAGCCAGTGACCCAGTCCTTCCCCACCACTCTTCTCAGACTAACAAATCTGTCCACTGTAACTCAAATTTGGATATGATTTCTTTGTTTTGCAATTGCTTCTAGAGAGAGGAGGTTCCTACACTTTCCAATTAATCCTCTTTGTATACAATAGGTTCCACTTCTCTAATGGCAGGATGTCATTTCTTAGTAGTATGCTGAAGATTTAGACATGATTACTGTACCTTTTCTGTGAGCAGGGAGGAAAGCTCCCAGGTCATGCTACCCAATTATTTCTGCTTTTCTCACTAGTTTAGCAAGGTCTGCAATGGTAGATTAGCTTAAAGGCATTCACAGGGCTCTGGTGTGATTATAAAGCTTTCCTCTTTGGGAAGCCTCTCTCTGATCCAAAGAGCATAACAAAGAACTAAGGGTGCACGGTGGAAGTGCTACAGGAGAAGACAACTCTACTGACCGTGGCAGGTCTCTGCACCAGGTTTTCCAGTCTGGTGTGGCTGAACTCCAGGCTGATGACATTGTACAGTTTCTCCCGTTCCTCCTCTGGGGTCTCATAGTAGCGTGCCCACTGTGCCATGGACATCTCAATGTCCCTCTGCGTGTTTACGTCCATGACATCCACCATCCGCCTGCTCCCTGCCACAACAAACAGACATCGCTATGAGTGACTGCTGTGCACAAAGAGATGCTAAGAATAGGCAAGCTAGGGGACAAGACACACTGCCTTCCTGGGGGACGAACTCAATAACCCTACCCTGCCAGTAGTCACCAGGTCTGTCCTCCACATCCATGCCAGGACAGCCAGAAACAGTCTCCAGCTCTCTGAACAAGAGACTACTGCTGAGCTGCTTCAGATCACAGAACAGTCCCTTTCCCTTGCCAGCCCCATGTATATACCTTACAAAATACCTGACCTTTTGTTCAGGCAAGAGCTGTCTGGGCATAAACAGCTGTATGGCAAGGGAGCCATAAAGCCTTTCCTAACTCATGGTACAAAGTATTCAACACCCCAAACTGTTCCCTCTATGCTGGGGTGTCAAACATAAGGCCCATATAGCTGCATGATCCAACCCACGAGCCACCGGACTGACTCTATATGCTGCATGTGGGGTGCAGACTGAACCCAGCACTGCAATATCTTGCAAGCAGCACAGGGGTCTAGTCTGAGGTGCACACTGCATGTGGCACCATGCAGGACTGGCCTAGTGCAGTACTTTGGAAATAGCTTACATCAGGCTGTACTGGACCCACAGAGCAGAGCCAGTTCTGGAAGGGGCCCCATGCAGCACGTGCCCCGGACTGATTCCTTGTGTTGCATACAGGGCATGTGGCCAGTTCAGCCCTGTATGTGACCAGATGAGTTTGACACCCCTGCTCTATAAGCCACCCCAGATTCTGCTTGAAGGTCATTGTGATAATTTTGTATAACATTCAAGGCAGAGAAGGGATGTACTTACCTACATAGAGGCGCACGTCATTCACACTGAAGTCAGGATCTGGCATCCTAGAACACAGACAAATACCTGAGACAAATGCTGAGGCATAATCCATGGCTAGGAGAGCAGAGGCAGTTTAAAAATTAGACAGATTATCTCCAGAGTGTGAACTGGGAATTTATACTGTATAGCAACCTTGGTAAATAAAGAGCTTGTTTCAGAGAACTTCAGCTTTCATTTAAAATAGTTCACCTATACTAAGGATACGTGTACAGATGTAGTTGCACCAGGGCAAGCTCCCAGTAACTTCCAGGGCAAGCTACTTACTAGATTTATGCAGCATTATTTAACATGAGTGTGGGTAGTTAACTTGGCAGAAATAGTACCTTGAAAGGCAGGATCTAAACCTTTCACTCTATGGTTGAAGAAAACCTTCAAAGTATGATACGAACCAAAAAGTGTTGCCTGACAAAGTCACAGTGCTTTAATCATACCTGCTTGGCTAGAATGGTGTGAATCCCTGAGGTGAGCACTACTACCAAAGTATGCTGTGGACAGTAAATCTTGGTCATCGTAACGGTGGTACTAGTTTTACTACCTCAATAAAGACTGCATTTCTCACCACTCTACTGAAGTAGCTTAAATCTTTACAAAATAAAAAACAATAAAACACTACTAACCCCAGACCAAGCTGCACGAAGCCTGAAACTGCTTCTCTTCAGGGAGTGGTTAACTTAGGTACCATCCTTAGCTGTTTCACTGCTGATCACAGTTTATAATAGATGGGGGATGCATTAGATCAGCATACTAATGGCACTAGAAGCCAGGTGGTACCTGGAGCATACCTGTTAATTCCTGCCCCCAAATCAGGGAAAAGTCAAAAGAAAGGAACTTGTTTGGAGTTCTGAACATGCATACAGCCCAGTAAGACCTCCAGGGCATCCACAATCGCTTGCAACTCACTGTAGCAATTTCAGCAGTCACAGGACCTTCAGTCCACAGATTATCCTACTTTTACTGCTCTGTGTGATCCATTGTCTCAGATGGAAGCCCAGTATTGCCAACCCCACTGCGTCAAAAATCATGAGACAAACTCTTAAAAATCAAGAGATTTGGTATGTAAATCACAAGATGCCATTTTTGAAGTGTGTGTGGAGAGGTTTATTTGTGAAGACTGTGGGTCAGGAGTAAGGGGCAGCAGCAGGGCTGGGGGGGCGGGGCTGTGCCTTGGGACTGAGGGACACACACACAGTAGAGTCATGGGTCATGCAACAGTTGCGGGTAGCTCGGTCCAGAGATGTGGGAGGGGTACGAGGGTGGGTAGCTCCCTATCACTGCACAGACCCCCAGGGAGACATGGGGGGCACATTCCCCCCAGTTTCATACATGGGGCAGAGGTAGGCTGCCCGCTGCAGGCTGGGGCTCTGTGCCAGCTGCCTCGGCCCCAGAAGTCTCACAATGCCAGCGTGCCTATTGTTACCGACCAGGTGGGCAGGGGAAGTGCAGCACGGCCAGCATGCAGCTCCCAGGGCAAAGTTTGCCCCGGGAGTTGTGCGCTGGCCATGCTAGATGTCCCCTCACCCTGGTGGGTGGCAGGAGGCATGTGATGTCACATGGCAACCAGGGCACGAAACCCCAGCCAGCAGCCTGCCTCGCCCACATGCACAAATATGGAGGGTATGTGCCCCCCATGCATCCCTTAGGGACCTGTAATACAGCACTGCCCCTAGCAGCAACACTGTCAAAATAAGTTTATATCCCAATAGCATAGTAAAATGCACCCAGCTTTAGCTACCAGGATTTGATCCCTGTGGCTCAGGTATAAGTAGCAAAACAGATTCTGAACTATCCACTCCCAAGACCACCACCTACCCATAAAGTTAGGGGGTGAAGAGGAAGGAAAAGACTACTGTGAGGAAGGCACTTAGGGGATCCTGCTACAGCTTCCCTAGTCCAGGCAGTGCCCCCCTTGGCTGGAGTCACCTCCCCAACCCTGATACTTACTTTATTCCAAGGCCTTCAGAGTTCTTAAAAATCAGAGGATCTCTCAGTCCACCCCGCTGGATGTATTCAACTGTGAAGTCTGCCATTGGGATAAAAGACAAGAGTGGGTAATTGTTAGGAGGAAATTGCTAAGGAGATATTGGGGGTACAGCCAGTGAAGGAGGAATATGGCAAAGAGAAGGCTTAAGCAGCCACCCCAGATGTGTGTGAATTTGGTTTGCTCCAGTGCTCTAATCAGCTGTATATATCCTGCCACAGACACAGGCCATGCAGACAAGCAGGATGGGATATGTTGGTTCCACTAGCTGGGTCAGGCAAGCAAAGGAATAAGGCTTTGTTACTCTCATTCCCCAAATAAACTCAGTGAAGCAAGAGAAGACTCAAGAAAAATTACTTCCACTCCCTCCAGTGCCTCATACAGAGCAGTTGTATGATCACAGATATGCCATGTAAATCTTACATGTTCCCTTTTTACCCAGGTCAACCTCACCTATTTGCTCCCCCCGCAACTATTTACTTGACTCCTTACTCCTGAGCAAGCAGAATACCTTACAGAAGAATAAAAACAGAACAAAAGGAAATAAGAAAGTCTGAACCAGAGCTTGAAGGAGCTGGGGGAGGGAAAACATAGGACACAGAGAAGCAATCCGCTCAGTTTCAAAAGAACAAGTTTAGCTGCCAACACATTTATCTAATACTTCCAAGCTAGCTTGCAGCTGAACAGACTCCCAAGCTTTCTCCCATGAAGCTTCTCTCTCTATAATATCAGAGTTGATATTAATACCCTGATAGAGAAGTAGTTAGTCTGCCCTATCAAGAAGTAAGGGGCCTTGGAAAACACTGACTCTATGGTCCATTTGCAGGCATGTTTCGCCCCATAATTTTATTGGCTTCATAAACTAGACAGGACTCTGGGTGGGAGTTAAAAAGCCACCAAGGGAAGGGGAACCAACCTTTGCCTTCCATGAAGACGACAAAGGTGGAGTTGAATTTATTGGTGGAAAGTTTCTCCTCCAGGTCAAATGTCCTCTTTCCTTCGATTTCATCATCTGAGATGCCATCATCTTCATAGCGCCGTCTCATCGTCCCACGCTGTGGACAGAACAAACGGGAAGATGAGAATAGCTGCATACAGTGCGGTACAACCAGCTCATTTTCCCAGCTGTTGCAATAACCTCAGCTCTGATGCCTTTCTGAAAGATGCAATCTAGTTTTACAATGAACAGTTAAGTCAGTGATTTGAGGGAGGACTTATTTATGGCCCCCATTACACCACAAAAGAAGATGCCACCATTCCCAACCAAGAGTAGCAACTAGCTTAGTATTAATCTGGGGCATCTGTTCCCCAACCACTTTTGATCAGAGAGCAATTGTTGTAATCAGTTCCCAGATGCAACTGCTGTTCTGACCACCTCTAAACTTGCTACTGTCCCACTATTTCCCTGTTGCCTAGGAGCTCCTGCACTCAGGCCAAAAGGGGGAAGAGAGGTGGACAGACTAATAGTATTTACAGGCACAAGTTGCCCATCCCTTAGTTGTCAGCACAGGTGAGGGATGGGACAGTTTTCAAGAAAAATGGGACCAACGCAAGGGAAGGGGAATCAGCTTTCAACAGTTTTTATTTGGTTTTTTATAAGTGCATTAGCATTTTGTATTGGAACAGGAGAACCACACGCTTTTATTTAATGCATTTAAATTTCATTAAGTTAGCTTTCACTAGAAAGCTAAAAATTTAAAACGTCACATCCGTAACTGCTACGAAAGACAGCATCTGGGTCAGGACTTTGTAATAGGTGTTTCTGCTAAGAACTGAAGGGGTTGGTGGATGCTTTTGGCATCAACATAACTCAGTTATACTAGAGCAAGTTTTTAAAACACCCAAGTAGGTGGATCGGGTTTCTGTAACTCTCAAGGGTTGTTTAAGTACTTTAGAAAGACCTCATTTTTAATTCCAAGAGAATAAAGGAGTTATTTTCCAGAGAGATGATATATCTCCTGCATGTACCCCTCCACCATTCACTTAGCCTTAAGAGTGAAGGAGACACAGTCTTCAGAACCTTGTTTCATACACAGCTTGTATTTATTCCAGGAAAAATGGCACCCCTAACTCAGAGGCCTAGTGAGCTACTGGTGACATTTCTGCTATTGCAGATGAGATGACAGAAGATAGGCTCCTCCAGACAGGAGCATCGGCCAGCAAAGGGTCATACACATTTGGGTAACAAGATAGATATGGGAGAGAGAGGTTGGCTGGGGCAAAGCGAGGCTTGATATTTATTAAACGCTGATCATTCAGAGTTACAGAACTCTACGCAGGCAGCACAAGCTGAGGTACAATCAGGGGCCTCTTTCTGCTCCAGGTTCATTAGCCCCATCACTTCAGTGCTCATCAGCAAGACTTTCCATTTAGACCCTGAACTCAGTTTACAATGAGATCTAACTTTGTTCTACACCACCCCTCACTACTGCCAGCTCTATTCTTCCTTGCCTTATGTCCTCTTTTCCACACCCTTGCTCCTTTTAATTCAGGGACGGGCAATTATTTTGGGCAGAGGGCCGCTTACCCAGTTTTGGCAAGCTGTCAAGGGCCACATGGGTAGCCCTGCCCCTTGACAGGTGCCATGCCCCCTGGTCACCATCTTGGGACCAAGGTCTCAAGGCCAGCACCAGTGGGGACCAGAGCAGGGCACAGGCTGGCAGGGGTCTGTGGAGCCAGGCTGGGCTGCTCCAGCAGGGAGAAGGGGGAGCTGGCCTGGCTCTATAGAGTACCTGCTGCCCAGGACTCTGTACCCTTGCCACCTTGCTCTGGGCCCCACTGGCGCTGGCCCTGGACACTGGTGTGGGCCCCACACTTCCGCGCGTGCTCACTCCCAGTGCCCCCCAGCCCCACAGTACAGGCAGGGGGCAGCACACAGCCCTGACCCCCTGCTTGCTGGCAGGGAACGAGCTGGTGTGTAGCGCAGAGAAAAGTGGTCCCTTACCTGGCCCATGGCCAGTGCTCCCTGCTGCAGCCACTCACAGCTCATGTGGGGCTGTCCTGAGCAGGCACAGGCAGCCTCATGCAAGTTGCGAGTGGCTGCAGGGTGGGGCAGCAGCCACAGGGCAGGTGAGGGGCCACTTTTCCCCACCCACAATCAGCACTAGCTCATTCCCTGCCAGCAAGCAAGAGGTCGGGGCTGCGTGATGCCCCCCGCCTGTACCGCGGGGCTGGAGTCAGCACCAGCTCGTAACCGACAGCCGCTGCCAGTCCGGGCCCCGTCCCAGCTCTGGGCTTGCCCACTGGGGCTGTCTGTGGCGGTGGCAGCTGCAGTCCCCCCACTTGCTGCACTGGAGCTCACGAGCTGGGCAGCAGAGGCTATGGTGGCAAACACTGCCCAGTGTGGCAAGTGGGGGCGGTGGGCATGGGGCCCAAGCTGGCAGCAGGGCTGGGTTACAAGCTGGTGCTGAGTGCAGGGGAAAAGCAGCCCCTCACCTGCTCCATGGCCGGCACCCTGCAGCTGCTCGCACCCTGCGTGGGGGTGTCTGTGCCTGCTCAGGACAGCTCCGCGCAGGCTGCGAGTGGCTGCAGCAGGGAGTGCCAGACACGGGGCGGGTGAGGGGCCGCTTTTCCCCATGCTCCTTCCCTGCCCTTCTCTCCCCATCCCTTACCTGAGTTTCCGGCGTGGTACAGCCACGTGGTCCCAGGCCAGAAGCCCCTGCTGGACTCCTGGCTAGTGGGGCAGGGACAGGAAGGGCCCAGGGGAAGCCCAGCGGGCTCCTACTGGCCCTGGTCCTGGTCATTTTTGACAGGAACCAAAGACAGATCATTATTAATTTTCTAAATTTTTTAGGGGCCCCACAGGCTGGATAGAATGGCCTCATGGGTTGGATCTGGCCCACGGGCCATATTTTGCCCACCCCATTTCAATTTATTCCCTGGCACCCATTTAAGAGGCCACAGCAAACAAAACATAATGCTTAAAGAGCTACAATATGGCATTTGCCACTGATGAAGTAGGCTGCTCCTCTTCCCCGCCTCACCCAGTTTGTTCCATCTAGACTAGGACTGTTTAACTGGCAGCCCACAGAGTTAACATGCAGCCCACAGGCTCCTGCCTGGCTGTCACTTTGCCCAGTGCATTAATGGCAGCCTTGGCCAGCATCCAGGCTCCCCCTTCCCTCCTCCAGATACTGGTTCCTGCCTCTGCTCCTGAGGGCAGGGCAGTACAGCAGGAGAGGGCCAAGCTATGTACTCCCCAAAGGAGGGAGCCAGGTTGCCCACGCTGTGTCCTGCAGGTGGGCTGCCTGCGTAATGTGTGCAGCCAGGCAGGGAGTGGGTGTGCTGTACATATGGGGGCGGAGCGGGGGGGGGGTGTGTGTCAGGACTGGCTGTGGGGAGGACCAAGGTGGCCAGCTCCCTGGAATCCAGAAGCTGGATAGCTCTGATCTAGACTAAAAGCGGTTGAGGCAAGAGTTATTATACCAGTCCTAGTTTACATATGAATGCTGTACTGGTTCAAAATTAAGATGCAATTCCTAATTTATTGAAACCAAAGCAAAAGGATGTTCAGACACTCATTTTGGTTTCAGAGTGAATTATTCTGATTCTGTTAGCAAGTAATTTACAAGCTTGACCTAACACCTTCAAGAACATGATCAATTTACTAATTTGTTTCCTATCATCAAAGCCAGCAAAGAAATTTATACTGTAGCCACTGTTAATATTTCATTAACTTAGTGTGGCTTTTAGAAAAGCTGACAGAAATTGAAACAAAAAAAATGGGCATGGACATTTTTTTCCAACAAGCCATGTGACAACCTGTAAGTAGTGAATGAAATTAAATGTTTCCTCATTAAATTTTCCAAAGCAAGTTTAGTTCTTTAACTCACTTGAGCTAGAGATGATTAAGGGCTCAACTTTAAACTTTTTCATGCATGTTTATAAAAGACTGTCAAGCCACATTTTAACAAACACTAAAAATATTAACAACATTCTTTAATAAAGTCTACACTTGTATAGAATGCAATAAAGTGTTTTTAGTTTATGTAAATGATATTTTAGGACAGGGGTGGGCAATTATTTTGGGTGGAGGGCCACTTATTGAGTTTGGCAAGCCATCGAAGGCTGCATGACAGGCAGCCAGGGGCAGATAAATATTCGTTTTCTAAATTTTTTAGGGGCCCCGTGGACCACATAGAATGGCCTGGTGGGCTGCATCCAGCCCATGGGCTGCATCTTGCCCACCCCTGTTTTAGGACAAACTTTGCTGAAGTCCATCATTTCTTTAGCTATGAGAAACAAAAAATGAAAGAAAGCTCTGCTCCAGTTTTGCATACTCATTACTGGGAACAGCACCTACTATGAACAGTTCTGCTCACTCACAGTGACTCCTGTTGCTACTAAACATTACACCATGCATGTTATATCAGTACCGTACAAGACCAATAGTCTAACTTCCTAAAATCCACCCTGACTTAAAATCAACACTGGATCTCTCTCGGTTATGCAGAGCAATAGGTTAATCAAAAATGTTACTGGAGAAGTTTGTGGCCTGTATCATATAAGCCCTCAGAGGAGATGAACCTAAAAATCTATGAACAAATTAACATTGTGTGTACTGTTCTGCATGCCACACATTTCAATTTATATAGTTGAAGCAGATAAGGGTCTCATATTACATAGTCTTCAACAAAGATTGCGAACTCTAAGCGACAGCATTTGTGGTGCTAAATCCAGGGTTTGTCAATAAGTAATGTTTCTTGCCTTCCAAAATACATCTGCTTTTATGTATATTTGCAAAGATTTGCTTTAAGCCTACCTCTTCCAGCTCTACATGCAATACTAAACACTAGTGGTTAATGCACATTAGGAAGTTTTTAAACGGATGCACAAAAGCAGCTGCATTATTGCTGAAAGAGTTTGCAAGTTTCCTGGCAAGAAGGCCAGAGCTACAAACTGCCAAGCAGTGCTGTACTTTTTGCATATGCTTCTATTCAAAATATTTAACTACTCAACCCTACTCTGAATGATAAGTCTGTGATCCTGCTCCCCACCTGTCTCCCATCTGGAGGGGTTGCCAGGACTTGAACAGAGTCATAAGAGACACTGTAGT